ATAAAATAGAAAAGTATGAGATCAATGTGGATCCTTGAATCCCATTGATTGATTTGTATTCTTTAATTGATGACTTCCATCAATTTTGTTGACACCCGACATATGTGGTTACGCGCGCGACCGTCTGTCCTTCAACACACTCCTCACTGCGATTGTAGTTTCAGCTGCTGCGCTGTACGACTGGTATCCTATCATCGTGTACAGCTCCTGCTGCTGGCACACGATAGCAGTGCCACAATGAATGGGCTTACTGTTTAGCTCGCTGTTGTCTTTGTCGCCTTCTTGGCAGCATAGTAAGCTTGTTTGTATCCGATGCATTCAGCCTCACTGATCCCTTGGATGGTGTTTCTGAACCTTCGGAATTTGCTGCCTTGCAGGGGCTTTGTGAAGTAGTCCGCGATGATATCCTCGGTCGGACAATACTCCACGCTAACTTCGCCCTTTTTGATCCTGTCTGTGACAAAAAAGTAACGGATGTTGATGTGCTTGGTCCTCTTGGTGCTGGATCGCTGACCATTCTTCTCGAGTTTCATGGCACTCTCGTTGTCTTGATAGATGACATTTGTGTCCCCCAGCTGTTGTCTGCTTGGCTGGTCGTCCCTGTGGTCTGCGATATTATCGGTCATATGCTGTCGTTGGGCCTGCAGAATATATCTTGTCCACAGGATAAATGTCATGTTATCATCCACTCCCACCACCTCGGCCTCTGTTGAGCTTTTAGTGTTGAGCTTCTGTTTGGTACAGGTAGTGATTGCTGCCCCCGTTCCAAGAGTCATCACTCCTCCTGAGTGGCTCCTCATGTCATTATGTACGGCAAAAGCTGCATCCACGTGCCAGTATACATTCCCAGTCCCATCGGCTCCCAAAACTAGGGGAATATATGGCGTCGCGGTCAGATAGCTCATCACACGTCGCAATTTCTTCCAATCATCCTCGTCTGGTGCTGAAACCCTAGTACACAGGAATGCAACGGCGGTTTGGATATCTGGTCGTGCCCGCTTGGCCATGAACAGGAGCTTGGCCACATAATGGTGGAATTTATCTGCTTGTTCAGCACTCAGCTTTGACGACTCCTCATTTACCTTGAACAGATGATCCGCAGCCGGGGTTGCTGCGCTCCCTTGCAGACTCTCAGGCAGATTCTGGATTATTTCCTCTAGATAATCAAACATACTGAACTTCACCTTCCCTGGCTCTGAATAATCGATTGTCATCCCTACATAATAATGTATCTTTCCTCGTGTCTCGGTCAGCGGTGACTCCTTTCCAAACTCTTCATTCAGTTGTTTTATCACTCCTGTGACGACAGCCGGATCCTTATGCGATATCTTGAGGTCATCAACATGCCACACTATTGTACATTGATTTCCATCTATAATCTTATTTACGGTACACGCGTCATAGGGATTCAACTCATACCCCCACTCCTCAAGCTGTCCGTACAGCTTTTCCCAGAACAGCAGTGCTGCTCTTAGTGTCCCATATATTGCCTTTTCGGCCTTGGTGAACAGGGTCTTCTTCCCATTCCTATTTACTAGATACTTCCGGTACATCTTGGGGTTCACTCTGCACAGGAGCTCCGCCATTGTTCCGTCGAGTCTAATGTACACGTCCTCCCCCTCTGGCATTGGGGTCTGTAGGAAAGCTCCAGGAATATCTACCGTTGCCACGTCCCTCTCCTCAGCTGCATCAATCACACAGGATAGTACTAATGCGTACAGGGATACAGTTGGTGAAGCCGCATCCTCCTTGCGGATGTATTCACGTTGGCGCCTCCCATCGGCACAGCCTCTGCCTTTAATCGATGTATCTCTCTTCCTCTTCAGAAACATCAAATAAGGTAGGGCTTGTGCCACCATCTCCCCTGTGACATGTTTTGGGTCCAGTGCTGATACAACACCCCTGTCATGTAGCTGCTTGAGCTCCTTCAGTACTGCCGCCACTCCTGCATCTCCAAAGCGTCGAATGCCTTCCTTGACACCATATTGCTTGGTCGCGTGAGTTGCCTCAAGGTTGTTGTATTCCGCTATCGCGTTTGCCACCATCATCACGCTTGTGTGTTGCTTCCCGAGCTGTTGTACTGCTCGTATGTACCCTGCTGTAAAAAATGATCTGGTGCGAGTAGTACTTGCAAAACCCTCATTCTCTCCATACTTGTTGTGTGACTTGGTGATTCGCTGCCGCAACCGTGAACTCACAGGCTCCATCTCTTCCTCTTCTTCGGCCTCCGCTTCCACTTCCTCACTGGCGGTATCCAGCACTGTGGGCTGATCCTCCGGTGGCTGAGGTGTGCCCTCGGCCCCATCCGCCCCTGGCGCTTCCCACTCCGGCCCCTCCTGCGGGGGCTGGGCTGTGACTGTAGCCTCTATCTCCTCCACCGCATCGACATCGTCCCTCACATCCTCATCCACATATCCGCTAAGGCGTGTCTCCACGGACTCCTCATCATCACCGTGGTTATATGTGGCATCAGAGGCGTCATCATCCTCCATGTTTGGGCTGTCATCCAGGTCCAGGATCGTTGTGTTCCCACTTGAGTCACCAAAACACACACCGCTGGGCATCCTTTGAGCCTCGGCAATGTGTGTTACCTGCTGCATGATTGCTTTTGTCAGTGGTGTTGGTGTGGCTGACTTGCGATGGATCCGCTTACAGGTGTTGATGTCAAAGGCATAGAAGCCCCCTGTGATGGATCCAGTTGGTCTTAAATACAGTGCATCGACAGCACGAGGTCGCATGGTGTTGTCTGTGTCGTCAACGTGTGCGAGGATGGGTTCCATGAACTGAAACTTGCAGTCCTTTCCCGCATCCAGGCACACTCCTGTCATTATCTCTCGCACGGACTTTGTCCGGTGCACTCCTGTTGTCCGACAGTTGAGCCAGTACACTGCTGTATATATCAGTTCGATTAGGCATCGTTTTGGGAGCTTTTTGAACGGTAGATGGCTCACATAGCATCTCACGGTCTCCTTCAGTGTTCTGTTGCTCCGTTCAATGGTTGGTTCATGTTGCCCTGCTGCAACACAGTGCATTTCCACTGGTGGGCTTAATTTGAGCAGGCCCTCCCGTAAGCACTCAAACTGGTTATCTCCGCTGATTTGCACCACAGTGAATCCCCTGCTCTTGTATTGGCCAACTAGACTTTCCACACAGCTCTGCAAAGTGGCTTGTCGCACGTTGGTCAGGGCTCTGGCGGTCCGGAATCGCACATGGCGAGATATAGAGTGAAAGAACTGTATCCCATTTACTGTCATGATGTCCACATGAATCATTACTTTGCCGTATCGTTCCAGCACATCTGGCGGTACTGGTAGTACATCCTCGCGGATGTGCCCCCCTTGTTCCCGTACTGTTTTTCCCTTAACAATGCTCACGTGTTTTCCGTATATTAGTTCTGCATTGAGAACATCGCGCCTTGTCACTCCACAGTTAGTTACCAGCTTGTTGTCGATCATCCGCATGAGGTCCTTTGATGTTGGGAACCCCATGATTTCCTGCAGCTTTCTTGCCTTGATCGCCCGTCGACAGTCCAGGTCAGAGAACTCCGCCTGTTGGCCTTCCACCGATGTGATTGTCAGGATCCGTCCACTAGTCTTTGTGAGGTCACAATAATATAGGTTGCAAACTGATCTTCCGAACCTCCGTGTTCCCCCATTGGGCTTGTGTACATGTAGCGCATTATCACACTCGCTGTCCATGGTGACCCGGAAACGATCTGACACCAATGCAAGGGATAACACATTCGCTATTCCCCCTTCATAGAACCACACCTGACCAAAGCCTGGGAAATCGGCAATCTTGTCAGTATGAGCTATTCCAGAATTGCAGTAAATGTGCATCACCTGTCCGTTTGGTGCCTTTCTGATGTTCTTTAGCAGTTTTGGATTCACTATCAGGTTACATGATGATTCGCTATCCAGGAGTATCCAGTTCGGATTCACTCCCCCGTCACTCTGATCATTCCGTTGTGCAAACAACCGCTCTACTTTGTTGCTGTATCGGAACACCTGAGGCACTGTGCAATTGCTTCGTGTTTGTTTGCTGATCTGCTCGGTGTGCACGTTGTTCCCCGTATTTCCTCCTGTGATCCTTCCCTGCTGAAAGAAACAGCACGCTTCTCCATCCCCAAAGTCTTCATCACATTCAACAGCTCGCATAAGGAGCTGGTGGCTCGTCAGTCTCATTTCATCATACTTTTCCTGGTCTGTTTTAATGTCCTCTTCCTGTTCAGCATTTCTGTTCGCTGCTGACACTGTACCCGCCGTGACGAAAGTCGTTGCTTCGTGGTGTGCTCTTGCGACAGGTTTAGTCACCCTGTTGCCTCTGTTGGTGATTGGGGTCTTGTTCCCATTCTTTCTGCTTCCTTTGAAAGAATTCATCATGTCGAGTGCCTGTGTTGTGGTTACCGGATAAGATATTTCCTGCAGGCCCAACGACAGCATATGACCGATAATATCGCAGACCACAGGGACGACCAGCCAAGCAGACAACAGCTGGGGGACACAAATGTCATCTATCAAGACAACGAGAGTGCCATGAAACTCGAGAAGAATGGTCAGCGATCCAGCACCAAGAGGACCAAGCACATCAACATCCGTTACTTTTTTGTCACAGACAGGATCAAAAAGGGCGAAGTTAGCGTGGAGTATTGTCCGACCGAGGATATCATCGCGGACTACTTCACAAAGCCCCTGCAAGGCAGCAAATTCCGAAGGTTCAGAAACACCATCCAAGGGATCAGTGAGGCTGAATGCATCGGATACAAACAAGCTTACTATGCTGCCAAGAAGGCGACAAAGACAACAGCGAGCTAAACAGTAAGCCCATTCATTGTGGCACTGCTATCGTGTGCCAGCAGCAGGAGCTGTACACGATGATAGGATACCAGTCGTACAGCGCAGCAGCTGAAACTACAATCGCAGTGAGGAGTGTGTTGAAGGACAGACGGTCGCGCGCGTAACCACATATGTCGGGTGTCAACAAAATTGATGGAAGTCATCAATTAAAGAATACAAATCAATCAATGGGATTCAAGGATCCACATTGATCTCATACTTTTCTATTTTAT